GCTGTGAATATGTGAAATGGAGTTTGTTCTTATATTATTATTGATTAATTATTGTATTTTTCCATACAAACAACGGTAAACTTACTTTTGTCTTACCATGTACATTTATACTTAAAATATGATACACTATATATATATATGTGCATTTGTACAGGTATAAGTATGCAGAGCTGGAGTCCTCTCTTTGGAGAAAACGAACTGGAGAGAGAAGGAGGGTAACTTTATATTTTACCCTAATATTTTATATTATTTGAATTATTTTTTAACAATGTAAATGTCATTATATGTTATTTATATAATAAAAAAATAAGTTCACTGTAAAAAGTACAAAGGAAATAAGTAGAAAATTCCTACTAACTTTGTAGGGAAAAAAAAAGGACCATGAAATTGCAGGCAAAACCATTCCTCAACAAGGCAGGAAAAGTTTTATTGGCTTTATTTCAGTTTAGCTGTAAAAGTGAAATGAAACTGCCAGAGCCAGAAACGTAAAATGTGCAGGACTTACTTCCAAGCTCTGATTTACAGATTTTTTTGGTATAAACTAAAGATTCATTGTTAACTTTGAAAATGAAGAGAAAACAGGGAAGTGGTTCTTTTTTTTAAAAAATATTTTATTTATTTATTTTTAGAGAGGGGGAAGGGAGGGAGAAAAAGAAAGAGAGAAACATTAATGTGTGGTTGCCTCTCACACACCCCCTACTGGGGGACTGGCCCTCAACCCAGGCATGTGCCCTGACAGGGAATTGAGCCTGTGACCCTTTGGTTCACAGAATGGCACTGAATCCACTGAGCCACACCAGCCAGGACAGGGAAGTGGTTCTTAACTACCAGAGTCCTGTGAATGCAGAGGGTTTGAGGGCACCCAGGGGTCCTTGGGTTCATGAAGTAACACTCCCCTTATTACTTGTGGTACCATAGGTCCAGTCTGCTTCATTGGGAGGGGGTGGGGTAAAATGAGCGATTTGTGGGCAAAATGAGTGAAGGGGTCAGAAGGTACAAACTTGCAGTTATAATATAAGTCCTGGGGATGTAATTTGTAGCATGACTACAGTTAACAATGCTATGTTGTATTTTGAAAGTTGCTAAGAAAGCAGATCTTAAAACTTCCTATTGCAAGAAAAAAAAAACTGTAACTGTGTGGTAGATGGGTTAGCTAGCCTTACCACAGTGATTATTTTGTAATTTATACAAATATTGAATTATGTTGTACAGCTGAAACTAATATTATAATATATGTCAATTATATCTCAATTTAAAACATAGGCTGCAACCTGTGGATTGTAAACTCTGGCCCACAGTTGAGCTTCTCAGTGATATGTGGGGCAGTTAGTGATCTTTCCCAACCCACCTGTGGAGACTCATCTCCACATTAGCCTCTGAGGCGCCCATTGCATTTCCCTGGCTCAGACACACCACACCCTTTCATGTGCCCATGTCTTTGCAACATGACTCCTCTCTGCATGGTCTTTTCTACTTCCTTCTCTTACTTCTTGTCAAATAAAATGATCACCCTGTAGTCCAGGAAGGGCTTTCTCTTCCCTAGTTCTACCTGGCTAGGTAGGTAGCTGTGCTCTCCTTTGGCTTTCTAGCCATTGACTATTAAACAGTTTTATTATTGTTAATGTAATACATACACTGGGTTTACAAACTCTAATGCAGCTACAGGTTTCAAACAGGACACATGCCCACTGTACTTCAACTCTAGCTCTCCCAAAGTCACTACTTAGAACTCCCTTCCATCATTACTTCCACATTTCACCTCTTGTCCACAAAGGACATGCTTATGTTGTATGATTTTTCTATTTTAGATGGTATCAAGTGAGTTCCTATGGTGGAGGGTGAATATTTAGCTATTTTTACTGCATTTCTTTCCCTGCTGATGGTCCTCTCCCCCTTATGTTTACATACATTTTTTTAGTTAAAGTAACATTCAGTATGTACATGATTATAATGATTAATATTGTCTACCTTGGGTTATATTTTCTTCTTGTATGTCTTAAATTTTTTTCTGAAATTAATAAATACCTTTATTACTTGTTTCAGACAAGGTAACTCTTAGGCAAATACCAGAAAGAAGAAGAGGAGGGACCCAAGGGGATACTTAGGAGAAGAGTATTCCATAGAGTCAGATTCTCTTACAAAGGCCCTGAGGTGCAGGTATGCTGGGAGTGTTTGAGACCCAGCCCAAGGTCAGTGTGGGTGGAGTCCAGTGATAAGAGGAAGCATAGGAACTGATGAAGTCAAAGTGGTGGACCAGGCAAAATCACATAGGGCCCTAGAGGGCCATGGTGATGACCTTGGACTTCATTCTGAATATAATGGAAAGCCAGTGGAAGATTCTGAACATAGGGATGACATGGTCAAATTGTTGTCTTTTAAAGATTACACAGACTGCTGCGGTGGGCAAAGCCATCACTGTAGTAGAGGTGTATCAGGGAGGCCAACTGAGAGGCCACTGCCTCAGTCCAGGGGAGAGGTGATGGTGGCATGGACCAGACTGGTAGCAGTAGGATAGATCGTTTGAATTCTGGGTATATTTTGGAGGTAGAATTGGTAGAATTTGCTAATAGATTGGATGGGAATGTGAGATAAGAGCCCATTAATTCCTATTTTCCCCTTTCTATGTGGTAAAGAGAAGAAACTGAGAAATGAACGACTTCAGTGACTTGCGCCAGGTTACACAGCTGATTAGAAGACAGTACCCATCACATGGCCTGGCACATAGTAGACTCTCATGTTTAATTCTACCAATAATCAGTCAACTAACTAACCAGCCAAAAAATTAACCAAAAGTGTTTATGGGCATTCCTTTTGTTTCCAGTTTTGTGGAAACAGCAGTTAATGCTGGTTATGACATCATCCACAACAAATATTTACTGAGTGGCTGCTGTCTCTCAGCTACTCTTCACATGTTATCTCAGTTAATCCTCATAACACCCATTGGGAACTATATTACTATCACCTCTGCTTTACAGAAGAGGAAATGAAGGCTCAGAGAAGATGGAGTCATTCCCAGGGCCATTCAGAGCAAATAGTTCAGCCAGTATTTAAACTCAGTTTATGTTAGAACATATAACCCCAGTGTCAAAAGGGCTTATGCTCTGACTGGCGGACACTACATGAGGGTGCATCAATGAAGTGGTCCATCTTTTGTGCTCTAAATCCAGAATGTGTTTGATTTTGAACTATGAGTCAGATTCAGAATGAGATGAAAGAAGAGGGAATCCTAAGTGCCAGGGATAGGAAGGGTGCTAGAGCCTCCTCAAACGCCTAGAGCCTAATATGAGTGCCACAGTTGGGGGTCAAGGAGAAGCCTGGCCTGGCTGTATTGAAAGTTTCCAGCTGAGAAGTGGTAGCATAACTGGCCTACTACTCCATTTCCTGGTATACCCAATGATACCCAGAAGTTCCTGGTGGAGAAATCCTGTGTTTTCTGTTAAAGTAGGGTAGAGGCCAACTTAAGGCCTTTATGGGCCCCTACATACCCTTACTTTTAGAGAGTCCCACCCCACATAAAAATACTAAAATGCACTCATATCTCAAATTAAGTACAGTTTATATATTAACTATACTCAACAGGATTTTATAATGTACCATGTTTAGTCTCAGATTTGCTGAGACCCCTATTTGCTGAGGCAACAGAAACTACCTTCCAAAGTGAGGGCAGGCTGTGCAGAGCTAATCAAAGAAGGTTACAGAGAACTAGTATTTTGACTCTTTAACCCTTCACTCACACTGAGGGTACAACAGAGTCAGGAATTTTAAGAATAAGGGACTTTTTTAGTGAGAATTGTTGGTGAGTCTCACTCAATCTGCCTTTAAGGGAAGATGTGGGGCATCTGCCCCTTCCTTTCACCTCAAGGATAGAGGGGGGTGCTTTCAGAAGACCACTTGGAAAGCTTAAGTGTTTCCCCCATAGTCTGAGCAACACAGTGGCCTGGCATCTAATGGACTCCCCAGAAATCTAGGGTGTGCAAATAGTTGGCTTGACTCTGGACAGTGGATTGGAGATAGTAAGCTGCATGGGGGGCCAGTGCCCTTAGAGTGTGGTTAGAGGAGGAAGGCACAGCTGTCTCCTATGGACCAAGGCAAGGTGTGTGCATGGCACACCTGGCAGAGCTGTCTTAGACTTCGAGCTTGCAGTCATGTGAAGGATCAAGTGAAATGCTAGACTCTCAGGAGAAGGAGGAGGAAGCAACCTGCAGGAGAAAGATATCCCAATCGAGAATGTCCCTCTCTGATGCCAACTCCTGATGACATGAGCCTGTCTGCCCCTTTTTTCTTGGCTCCCTTTGCCCCTCTGACATGGTTACCCAAGGGGGAAAGAAGCTTAATTGTGAAAAATGATAAAAGGAACTAGCTAACCACATGTTCCCCCAACACATGCAACACATTTCAAGGGATCCAAAATAAAACTGCCTTATGAATACATCTCAAGAGTCATGAGTGTTCTACCAAATGGCTATGCATGTGAGTTAAAGTTAGTTGACACCTAGTTATATGTTGTTGACAAGGGAATACTTGCTAATTTTGATTTTGTAGACTTTCTTGAATATCGTGGAGAAGGCACCTTATTTTACTCTCATGCCTTAAACATTTTCATAAGGCCTTGGAAGTCTTGTATATCCTATAGCACATATTGGGTAAAATGGCTGGGAGATCTCTGGGCTTGGATTCAAAGGTCTGGATCTAATATTGATGTTTGTGACTCCAGGCAAATCAGTTCTTGTCTCTGGGACCTGGACCAGTTGGTTCCTCCTGTCCTGATTGGTTCTAAAACTCACGTCTCTGGGATTTCATTGGTAGCTTGTGGAGCCTAACATATAGTCCATTTAAATAAATGTTTGCTTAATGAATAAGCTAGTGACAGATGGATTCTCCTCAAAGACCTCCCAACTTTTCCCTTGTCTCTTTGGAACACCAGGATATGAAGCCATCTGTGGGTCAGAGGAGGACTCTGCCCCTGCCCCTGAGGGCGAGCAGGCCCACAGACCTCCTACCTTATTGAGGGTGTTGAGAGCAGCCTGGGCTGCTATGAGTGCTGGCTCTGCTTTGGCCAGGTCTTCTTCACAGTCCTTCTGCTTCTGCTCCACCTCCAGCATGATGAGAGCCACCTTCTGTTCCTCCTTGTCCGCCAGGGCCTTCTCTCTGCTCACCTTGTCAGTCTCTATGCCCACCTCCTGAATCAGCTTGTCTGCATCTTCATTCTTCTGCTTCAGCTCCACCTCCTGCGTGGCCAGCTTGGCTTTCAGGTCATCTACCTGCAGCAGAGGCACACTGGGCTTATTGGAAGTAGAGGGACTTCAGACATGGCCCTGAGGATCTGATCCTGCAGAACAGAGCTCTTAGCTAGGATCGAGCTTTCTGGCCTGGGAAAGGAGAGGAACTCTGGACCCCTTCTCCTTTCCTGCTATTTTTTGCCAGGTGAAAGATTCTAAGCAACACATTCTCTCACCTGACTTTCTCCTTGATGTCCAAATGACTCCAGCTGCTTCTCACTGACCTTGGTGCCTGTGTCTTATAAAAATTCATGTGCCAAACATAATACTTTGCAAATGGTAAGCCCTTAATAAAGATGTTATTGTTTAATTGAAATTGGCCATAATAGAGTATAACAAGAATTTAGCAAGCAATAAAGACTGTGTCTATTGTGTATCCTGAGATATTGAACACATGAACAGACAGAGGCCAAACCATATATCAAGTAGAACTCTGACCCACAACCTGTAGCTACTTGCCCAGGAAACCAACCCAATACCTACACTAAATAGCTCAGGATGCCAGCCGGCTGTCAGTCAGACTTGTAAAAGGCAAATTACTGTCTGGGTAACAATCCAAAAGGAGAAACAATTGAGCCCAAATGGCCAAGACTTGATTCATCACTGACAACTTCCTTAATTTTTGTCTGTTTCCAATTTAGGACTGACCAGAAGGAGTCAAACATGTGCCCCTGACTGATCACATAGGGTACCCCTTTTCTAGTAAGCACCCCTACATCTGCCCCAGGCCAGCAGCCTCCCTCAGGGTATGGCTCAGGCCTTTCTTCTTCCCACTAGAAAGCTCTCTTCCTCCTTTTCCTCCTGCCTTTGTGCCTCAGCCAAAATGTAAGTGCAAGTGGCAGACTCTCTTGCTAGAATCAGCTCTGAACAAAGAGCTTTTGCTTTTTCTCCTTTGGTTGGTCTTCATTTATTCCTATAATCCAGGTTGACCAAGTTGAAGTGGGGTGGCAAGAATCTCAGTGGTCCTGATCAGCCAGATTCCCCATCCAGCCTTCCTATTTATATGCATTTTGGAGGCAGTAATGAAGGAGTGGGCATATCTAGGGAACTGTCTATTTCTCTGATCAGCTGGACAGAGGAATGACTTCCTATGTAGGTTCAGGGAAATGTGGTGGTTCTCAGAGTGTGGTTCCCTAGACCACCAGAATTGGCATTGTATGGGTACTAGTTAGAAATGCAAATTCCCTGGCCCACTCCACACCTACTGAATCAGGAAGGTTGGAGGTGGGGCCTAGCAACCTGTGTTTTTATAGGCCCTCTGGGTGATTCAGAGGCTCATGGAGGTTTGAGACTCACTGGCCTAGAGTTATGGCCATTTCACATGTAAATAGAAGACTCAGATCTGTTTATTTCTGGAAAGTAAAAAAGCCATTTGTATTTGCAATATGGCCCATAAACTTTACATTCCAGAATGACCTCTTGTCTCTCATTTTTCTGCAGTCTATTTCACGCAACAACCAGAGATTACTTCAGCGCTCCTGGAACACACCAAACAGATTCAAATGCAAAATACATAAGGGGAAGTATAAAGCAGAGGCTTAGACGTTGCTGATAATTCCTTCTTTATGGCAGATCAAAAGAAAAGAAAGCAGAAGAAAAAGAATGCCCTTTAATTTTGTGTATTCATGGAAACTGGAGCCTTTGCATTAACCTCAGATGGAGACCTGCTCCTTAGAACACATCTTATATCCCCATGTTGGAAGGTTAATATGCTTCCATCTCCCGTTGTTTAGCTGCAGAGAGTTATTTCTACAAGGACAAAGATGCAATTGTAAATCAAAATGATTGAACCATATAATCACTGCAGTCAACAAACACACCAGTAACTTTTCATTCCTTTTTAAATCTTGGGAGACTTGAGAAAATTGAAGTGGTGTTTTTTTCTTTGTTTGTTTTATTGATTGCAGATATGGCTTATGACCTCAGGCCCAAGGTAAATAATGACCTGCACTGTGAATGGGAGCTTTATAGCTCTTAAGCTGTGGCACCAAGTGACATGAGGGTCCCGCCAGTTAGAACGAGGCCATTCCCTACAAGGCTGCAGAGAGGGTGTAACTTAGCTGCATTTCATGGCTCTTCTGCAACAGATCAGGACATTAAAATAGGTTACTGCAAAGTTTTTTCTTCCTCCCTTATTCAGAGCATTCAAGCCCTCCTCTGGATCTCTTGTTATTTAGACACTCCCACACCTGGGTAGCAAGAGGGCCACAGACACAGAAGAGATCCTTTCCCTCAGTCCTGCCAGCTCCATGAATACTGTGTGTGGCAAGTGGGGGATGTTTGTGGAGAGCAGGGCCAATAAAATGGCCTTGGTCTGATCAAGATAGCATAAAGTATATAAAACCAAGTGGAGTTACTCATGTCAACCACGATGGCTGCCAGTCAGCCATGACACTTTGGTTCAAGAGGGAAACTACCTAAGTCATGCTAGACACATCTGGCAAGGAGACACACTCAAGATATCTGCACACGTGATCATAACAGCCATATCTGCAGAGTGGGACCACTCATGGATAGGCTCCTGAGGAATTTCCACACCTACCATCAGGGGTGCCAAGCAGAACAGCCATGTACCACCCATAGGCTCCTGGGAAAATTCCACACTTGACATCAGGCGTGCCAAGACATTTATTGAAAATACCCAGAAGGGTGGAGTATACCACTTTCAAGGTATAACTGAGACAGGTTCCAACCACTGCTGGAGCTGAGCTCCACACACCAGGGTGCTGCTCCACATTACACTGATCTCCCTTGGCATCGGTTGCCAGAGGCTTTGCCCGGCTGGACTGAGGACTTTGCCTACCCTGCTGCCCACGTGGCTCTGGAGATCCTTTCTTACAAGATGCTGACAACTCCCTTGCCCACTGTGCTGTCTCCTGGGACCTGCAGACTGAGACTCTGGGACTCAGGTTCATTATTCCCTACTGATTGCTGTGTGTGTGTGTTATATTTCTCTTAAATTGTTAGAGTATTGAGTAGGATATTAATGTATGCTGATGTTCTACTTTGAGTGAACCTGCATTCAATGAAAGCTGAGTGAGTAGCAGAGTTACTGTGTGTGACTCTTGTCTATTTCTTGGTGCCAGGCTGCTCAGCAGGCGGTGGGCCGAGCAGTTGCCTGCTGACTTATAGGAAAGACTTTATCATGAACGTATGCTTATGACAGTGTCGTCTGGGTGGGTGATGACAAGAGCATGGTGGGAGACCCTCCCTTCTTCAAGAATCAGGTATGTTATGCCAAAAAGGGAGGTCCAGCTTCTCAGGACCTTCTCCCCAGAACTCTAAACAAAGGAGAGGGAACCCAGGATAATCAGCAGTAGTAAATACTCCACTGAGGGTTGGAGGCCTAGAGGTATCCTCTTTCCGAACTCTGAGTTCATATAGTTACCCAGCACTTGCTGATATGAATTTAGACTTCAAGCATGTTTTCCTCTTAGAAATAGATGTTTTCATCTATACTAGATATTTGTTATGCTCACCTGCCTAAGAAAAATTTTTTGTCCCTGTTCTGATAACATGGTTTAATTTTCCTTTAGAGAACTCCCCCTTCTCAAACTCCCACAGTTTGGGTGGGATTCACTTCAGAGGCTGTTATTTGATCCTGGGTTAGCCAATGAAAGCATTCAAGTCTCACAGATTGGTTCAACCATGGGTAAACCAAAGACCAAAAGAGGCCAATTAGAACCACTGATCATTAACCCAGGAACCTGGCTGAAAATACCAGGCAAGAGGCCTCCCTTTTTATACTGGGCTACAAAGCAGACAGAATACAAGCCATGGGAGTTGCCTGCCTGAACAGGGACATCTACTGAGTATCCAGCTCTAGCCTTGTCCAAATTAAGCTCTATTCCATAGTTCTCAGTTATACTAATCAATGCATGTCTTTTTAAATTTTTTATTTATTTTTTACTGTTGTTCAAGTACAGTTGTCTCCATTTTCACCTCCCCACCCATCCCTGCCTCCCACCCTCGAGCCTACTCCCTTTGGCTTTGTCCATGTATCCATTATACATGTTCCTTGATGGCCCTTCCCCCATTATCTCCTATTATCCCTCTCCCCTCTCCCTTCTGGTTATTGTCAGTTTTGCCCAAACAAGCTTTGGTTGGATTTTAGTTAGCTGCCATCAAAAGGGCCCTAATAAATATATCATAACCTAAAAGTTGTCTCTCTCCTTCTCTGCTCTCTCTTCTCCTCTCATCTCCTTCCCTCTCCTTCCTGCTCTTGTCTTTCTCTCCCATCCTGTCCTTTCCTGCTTTGCATTTATGTTTTTTTTCCTGTTTGCTAAGTAAATTTACTTAGTTTTTTTTTTCACTTGCAACAAGAGTCTTGAAGAATACATCATTGTAAATTATTAACTGTCAACTTCAGGTAAATTAGGTGGCCTGAGATCATTTGAAACCATAGATAAACTGAATTTAAATATTCTCAAATTGACAGACTTGTGGATTAAATCCTACATGCAGTAGCTGTTGGCCTTTTGTGAATGTTTCTTCAATCCAACAGCCCCACTTCCTCATGAATATGCTCAGGTTGAATAGAGAAGCGAGGATGAGAGCAGGTTCTGAGGATATCTGTGAGAGATGAAGTGAAACCCAAGTCAGGGTTGGGGACTCTGACTATGTCAAGACAGAGAAAGCAAGTTATATCAACTGTGAAGACTTCAGCTGAAGCTGAAGCAGAGACAGATGCCAAGTGAAGACCCAGAGGGACCAGCCATCCATCATCAGAGCCAATGGGAACTGGAGAGCCACATCACAGTGTTTCATCAACTGCCTCCGGAGCGTGACACTCCACAGAAAGGGGGAGGAAAAGACCCTGCAGAGGAAAACAGCCCAGAGGTAGAGTTAGAACTCTGAGCGGCTGCCCTCCGAAGACCGAGTTTTTAACCTGAAGTCACCAAGTCAGCCTGAAATGCAATATCGAGAGTTTTGTTAAATGACAAAGATAGATCCAGAGCTAAATTTAGTTATAGAAAAATGAA